AAGAAGGTGTTATTAAAAGGCTTGTTACAGAATGAGGTTGTACTGTATAATGAAAATCTATAAGAGAGAAGGGAGGGAAAATGCATCTGGTTTCCTAGATGCAAAGGCAGATTTCATAGCTTAAACGAACACACCGATACTGTTTGCTAAACTACTAGACACAGCTAAGTCACTGTGTACGTTTGGCCCAGTACAGCATTCTAATGGATGGACATGTTGTGAAAATGGTTTTCAATAAACTACGGATTCTAACTGCAATTAAATGCTTTTAATTCAAATCAGCATTAATGAACCTCCTGTTGACAGCCACTATTGTCGGCAACATCAGCGACACGAAAGGGAAACATCACAAATTCAATAGTAGTTTCCATCCCACTTAAATATTTAAAACAGTAAATTATTCTGGCTGTTATGCTAACATCAAACAATTTATTTCAAGGAAGTTCTCCCACTTGGGAAGAACTTTATGGTTCATTTTTTTTATTAGACAAAGCAGGCTATTAAACATTAAAATGTCATTTGCTGTTACTCAAGCACTTAAACATGCACATTTAGATTGGCAGCTAAATAAAAAAACAATCATTACAGTTTTTGCTGCTGTGCCCTCATTTAAAGTGACACTATTAAAAACATTATTTAAAAGGTTCTTACTTGGACAATGAATTTAACTGTTCTTGAATCAGTTTCTTAACATTTTCATTCTCTGGATAATCACTGCATAAAAACCATAAGAGTTAATTGATATATATTCAATCCATTTATATATGCCCATATATTAACTAAACTTATAACACACAAGGTAAAAGAAGAGTATTGGCAATGTGGAACATAAGCCACGACAGGAAGCAAATTTATGAACATTTTTACTTTGTTAATGAAGAAAAAAAAGCCCATCCATTATTTTTCCCAGTCAAATATTAGTTTCAAAGAACTAATTCATGACCTGTCTTCACTATCCCTCAGCATCATCAGTCTTAGTCACAGTCTCATCACTTCACTCTTTCCCATAACTTTATGTTCACTGAAACCTGCACTTCTCCTTACTATACAGCATTTTCAAATTTGAGTAACAGTTTATGGTAGCTCAATATTAATGAGTCTAAGGGGAGAGAGGTGAAAGGGAGCGGAATAATTGATGGAGAGCAATCAGTAATTCAGAAAACTAGGCCCCTTCAGGCACCTCCATTTACACTATGATAAATTGAAGCAACTAAAATTTTTACCCCCCTCTTGAAAACACAGGCTTAGTACCAACATCTATTGCATTTTATAACTACTGCTCTCTACTGCCTTGACTTTTCTCACATCTTTCAAATCCTGATGGGCTACAAGAGCCACTGCAAAAGGATCTACTATCTTGCTCCACCTCACTTTTCTCTTTTCCTCCTTAAAGAGTTGCTCTTATTTGTTGCATACCACTAATTCCCCAACTGTGACTCCTTGTTCTCCTTTCCTCTCACCACAAGCACTTTTGCTTATTTTGGGGAGTTCAGCTTCCATTTTGGTCCTATTTACCACTGTAACCTTCTACCTCCTTATCGCCAAAATCTTATTGGATTTTTGTTCGTTTATGACACACTGATAATGCACATAACGAATACAAAACTGCATACAACAATCATATTTCTTTTATGTTGACTGTGTTCTTAGATGGCAAATTATCTGGGGCATATACCTTCCCCTGGGTCTGGATACTGCCCAGCATACTGTCTATTGATTTCATCATGACTACTGCAATATAAAAACAATAGATCTAAATATCTGTAAGATGGTTGTATGCTTCTTAGGGTTTTGGACAACTAAAGCAACAATATACTCATAAATCAAAGGACTGGGACACTGACCTACTCTCCTGCAACCCCCCTAACCACTTGCCAATCAGCTGTTCTTACAAATGAAACCTACTCCTGCTTTTTGATGCAAACAGCCAATTTTGACTAGACCAGTGGCACTCAAACTTTTGGACTTGCAGGACAGATGAGTGGTGCGGGGCTGGTCCACTGGCTGGATCAAGCCCTGTGCACCAGGATCAGACTTCTGGGGCCCGACTTCACCCCCTCTCTGCCTCGCATGCTGGGACTGGGCCGCAGGGGCTCAGCATCTCCCCCTTCTGCCAGAATTGGGCCCCAGTGCTGCCCCTTTTCACAATCCAGCATGCAGGACCCAGGGCTCCCTGTGGGTGTGGAAAATTTGGCACCAGGAAAGCGGTGGCACCACTACCTCCTGCCAGACTTCTGGAACCAGGGGGGCCCAGGGGGGCAGATAACACAGCACAGACTGAATCTGGTCCATGGACTGGGGGTTGAGTTCCCCTGGACTACGCTATTGCTATTGTCTTAAAATAGAAAAGAGCTCTTTTCAGAAATGGAGAGAGGCAGGTGTTACCCCTCCATTTAGATTTTCTCATGACTGCTAAAGTTAAATGAATGTATTCAGCAGCCTTCTGCTGAAGAATATGCAGTGATAATAATAATAATAATAATAAAAGATAAAAGTTACTAGAAAATTACAATAAAGTCTTACACATGAAAAATATCTAGAGAATATTTATCATTCCATGGCTGGTGCAGCAAAAATGCTTTTAAAGCTAATGAGGCCCGTGGAACAAGGAGATAAGGACACCACACAGGTTCTGAAATAGAAGAAGGGAAGGGGGAAAAGTCTTATTTTCAAGTTAAAAGTAGCCACGCTGCAATGGAATAGCATTTACTAACAATAAAACACAGAACACTCAGTTTGCTAGTGTGCCAAAAGAAGTTTACTATTTGCCCCACCATCTAACTCAAATGTACAGCATGTACTACTATATATAAAAATATGTCGTTACAAACAAAAACATTTTTGGGGAAATACATGGTTAAATTCCACACAGAATCTGATCTTTTGGCCTTTTCATTTATTTACAACCTAGTTGAAAAACTTGTGAAGTAATGGACATGTGAGCTCCTACTAAAAGACAGGGAGGTAAGCCATTAAAGATGTCCCAGAATGCATAATTCCGGCACATCCATCGCTAGGGAACAAAGTATTTTTTTTAATATGACAATATTCTGAAATACCTTCAGTGAAATTAGGATGTGCCAAGAGGCTATTACAGGGAGGTAATTAAGTTAAACTTATTTCTTTGTTGGATGCTTCCCAAAGTCTGGTCAGTATATCGCTGTGGTTAGCTCAAGTTTCAGTTTTTCCTTGGTGGCCCATTTTCAATGTTAGTTTAAGATTGTATGAAACCATTAATTCAGCAGGAAGACTAGAAATTATCTTGCTGCTGCAAGTATATGTATTTGATTGTCACTAACCAGTTAGGCAAGAATCTGTGCACGCGCACATTTGACTTGTGCCCCTGTGCAAAACACCAGTTGTAAATGAATAATTCAGCAGTGTAACCTACTCAAATGTTGAATGATCTCCACCTCAGGTTCTGAAGATTAGGAGGGGAAAAAAAACATTAGTAGAGCTGGTAACACTTACAGTTCAGATTGCCAGCCATTACCTAGTATGAGACCTTTGTGTCAGAGATGCATATTTTGTCATCTCTGTGAAATATGTAACCAAAATAAAGGTCTCTGGAAAAGAATCCTAGACTTTGCAAAAATCTTTCTTACTACATGCCACCTAAGACTTGACCACCTACACTGAGTATGCTCTATAGCTACACAAATCCTAGGTTTTGACCACGCTGCGCACCCAACACCCGTAGGCCAGAGAAGAGACAAAGGGTGGGACAAGGGAAAAGTAGCAGGACTCAGAAGTGGAGGACACGAGCATGAGCAGAGTGGAGGCAAAAGATAAGAACAGAAGATGAAGGAGACAGGGACAGAAGGAACTACACCATCACTAGAGCACTCTCCCCTACAAGATCTGGAATGGAAATCATTATACTGAGTCTCAAATTGCTTTGCTGTTTAGAAAATATCTGTAACAGCCACTGGTAAAATGGTTCCTTTCATTGTCCCACTGTGAGGTCGACATAAATGGTAACTGCCTTCTATAGCTGCCATTAATTCTCTAAGCTCAACAGGCAGAGAAGTGTACTGTGGATTCCAAGATCCCAGTCCACTTGAGGAGCAGTGAGTGACAAAGCAGGAACAGTCCTCTCCCATCAACTTAAGTTTAAATAAATGCACTAAAAAGTTAATGGAACATTAAAAGGGCACAAAAGTTAGGAAGTGTCAAAAATTAATGTGGCCCTTGCTATTCTTGATGTGAGAATCTTGAAATCAGAACCTTTGCCGGGTTAATTGTGCACTTCAATTGATTTCAAACAGCTATATGTGCAAATTAATAATCACTTAAAAAAATTCAACCAGCTATAGAGCTGGAAAATGTGTTCTAACTTTAGAGCTGGTTTCTATCCGGCTTTAATTTTCACATGTAGCAGCATATCCTGCTGTGGCTGGAAGCCCCACTGGCTGACAGGGCTCCTAGATGCAGGGATGCACCATGCACACTTGGGGCTGGGAGTCCTGCAGCTGAGGGGACTCTCAGCCCCAACAGCACCCCACAGCTGCCAGAACCGTGAACCCCGCAGGTGTGGACTCTAGGTCTCAGCAGTGCCCTGGCAGTACTGCCGGGATCCACAGGCCACACCTGCAGGACTCCTGGTCCTGGCAGCTATGGGGTGTTGTCAGGACCCAAAGTCTGCAGCTGTGAGACTCTTGGTCCTGGTGCCACCATGGCTGCAAGCCCAATCAGCTACGGGACTCACAACTGTGGGAACATTCTACTTGCTGGTGCAGAGGGAACCCAGAACGGCAGTCCTGAGTTCTCACTTTACTGACAATAAGGCGTGATAGAATCTGATGCAGGATCCCACAGTCACATCTCTTGCCACGCACATGTGGATTATACACCATGCCTTTATCTGAACATCTATAGGGACTCAGAGTCTTTAGTTTAGAGGGGTTATACCTGCCCATTTAATGTTCCACACCATAGATCAGGGGAACCTCAAATGTCAGCAGAAGTATAGGTGTCCACATTGTACCAGTGTCGAAGGAGGGCATGTCATGGAAAATATATGAACAATCAACTTTAGGAACACAGTTCTGGAAGGTAAGTAACTACTTCTGCTTCTTTGAGTGCTTGTCCATATATATATATTTCACTCTTGGTGGCTCAAAAGCAGTGACCTGAATAGAAAGGTTGGAGCTTACAGGCTTCTTAAACAAAGACTGCAGCCAAAAGAAGCATCAGACTTATATGCTGCCACAGGGGAATGATGTCTCAACATGTGTACTGAAATTCAAGTAGCTGACCTGAATATCTTTGGTATCAGCATCCTTCTCAGGGGAACCACACAAGCTGTCTGCACTTGAAACTGCAGTGGAACCTAGCTAACTAGCTAGTACCAGGTATTACCGGAGGGAAAATCATTTTGAAAGTCTCTGGGTCAATTCTGCCTACCACTTCAATGTGCTAGCATGGATCCAAAATCCTGGAGAGATTCCAGCAGCTTGACTATATAGAAAAATTTAAGTCTCCTCAGGACGTTCACAGGGGATAGTTTATAGAAAATGGATCATTTGGTTCACCTGAAAAAATTGGTGATGATCCTAATTAAGAACCTGGGATGCGCTTAAGGGTAAATTTATCTTTAAGGAATACTGTGTACAGGGAGCCTAAGCTCTGTAATGAAACATCCTATTAGATTTGTGAAATGCTGCACTGACACAGCTACACTGCTTCAGATTTGGAAACAAGCATGTGCAAAGCTTAGCACAGCGTGGCACAACAAGATCACATAGGCATACCCCAAAATTCCCTGCCAAGTGACAGTTTTTGGTTTTAATCTTTGTCTGTAGCTCCCTCCATGTGAAATGGGGTTAAGACCTCCTTCCCTCACAGGGTACCTTATCAAAGGGACCCAAGGTACGACTGCATGGGCAGTCTTAATTCTAGCAGTTAATAATGGAATGCTTGATTCTGCAATCCTAAATGCATGGCTTTTTCCATGCAATATGCATATAATTATATAACACCCCTCTATCCCCAAACTCAATGCTTTATCATTAGTAATGTAATAAAATTAAAAAGCAACCAAAAAAAGGTTAGGCTACATAAAGGATTAGTTTCGGAGCCCATATAAGGAACTTAAACTGCACTGATTACCATATAAATCAGAAACCTTGGAATCATTTAAACTGTATCTCAGTTTGACATTTGAATACTCTTCAGGTCTTTCAATCTATCAGCTTAAAATGCAAGATGTTTGCTTCAGAACATTTCTTAAGTCTTTAGTCTAGTCTAATGAACCATTAAACTACATTTCAGAGATCAACTGAAAATTGGACACTGGAGTGATTTTAGACTTCCAATAAGTATTTTTTTCTTCCTTCAGTACTGATTTGCTATACGGAATAGTAACTCACTTCACAACTCAGGTAAGAAGAGTTACTTGGATTTTACTACAAAAGTCTCCTTAGCCGACTGGTATTTTTTGAAGCCCTTCCTTCCTTTTTCATGTCCTTGTGACAAGATATTTAGCAGAATTCACAGAATTGGTTGAAATTTGACAGGGCCGTGCTGTGAGCATGTCTGCTGTGGCCTTGAACTTGCAACCTCTGGGCCATCAGCTAAGCACCTGAACAACCCCAGCTCCTTTTTTTGAAGCAATACTGCAGTTTACACTACATGGTCCCCAACCAAATAGGTTAAGCAGGACTCTGAAAAAGGCAGTTAACCTATGAAACACGATTCACTTCAAGATTTTGTGCAAAAATATTCAACTACTGCTGCAAGTGTGTATTGTCTGGGCAATGCAGGTCACATTTATTATGACAGTTAGGACAAAAATCACTGTGGAGGCCCAGGGGAGGTTTTCACAGGAGGGGAGGGGCTCTGGGAACCATATCACAACAGCCATAGGAATGTAGTGGAAACAATTCTTGTATTAGGAGGCTAGAAAAAGTGCCTTGTTCCCATATGCTACCAAAAATATTCCTCTATCTCTCTCCACTCAAAAAATATCTGCCATGCAATGGAAAAAGCACAGGGTTCTTCTGTACCTTGGATTTGCAATTATGACATTGGTTTGGGGTGTAATAATGAGGACAGATCAACTGAGGATAGGGAGCTGCAAACCTCCTGAACCAGGAAACTCAATTCCTCAGTCTGACCAATTCTGTAGTTCCTAAATGTACAGTGAAGAGGGAGTTATTTAAAGCTTTGCGCAGCAAGATCTCTTCCAAGCTAGTTGCAGGCTGTGACATAAACAGCCTGCCTCAGCTCTTCTCATCTCCCAAATCTGCTAATCTGTTATATAGTTATTAAGCAAAGTGAAAGCATTAGCATTTACATTGCTTTGTGCACTGGCATTTGAGAGCCAGCAATGAGCACAACTTAAAATGAAACTCAATTAAAAAAAAAAAGTTACCCTTCCAAATGAACATTTTTGCCCACTAGTAACATTTGAGACTACTAAAAGAGATAAAATAATATCTCTGTTTGGAGGCAGGTGAGGTTCTGGGTTAACTGTGCATTTCATATCACATGAGTTTTTTTTAATCTAATTTCAGTGGTTTGGGGTTTTTCACACAGCCAAAATGGATCTGACTGGTGGTCTGTCTATTCTGGTACAGAATCTATGACAGTAGTAAGATGTTTCAGACAAAGGGTCTCTGCAGGATTCAGTTGTGAGATAATTTGTCCATGTGACGTTTTTCCTACTCTCCACTAAGTTAGTGGTTTAATTATATGCTGACTGATTTACACAGTGATTTTTATTCTATCCTAGGTAACTTTTGTTACTTTTATAAATATCTAAACTGCTACTGAATCATGGTGTTTTTGACTGACAGTGTTTTTCCTTTGTTTCACAGGTTTAATTACATAATTATGCATTTCTATATTTTCACATTAAGGGTTCAAAAAAGAATGTATGATTTCTAATATATCTGTGTTATTGATTATAATGTGCTGATGATACTTTCATTGTTTCTTGTGTTTTATTAAAGTTATAGTCTTTATTGTGTCAATATTTTATTTTAGATAAAGTGGACAATGTTATTAAAACAGAATATCTATCAAATATAATATCACATTGTGGTAATCGTATTTAGCAGTGGTCTCAGTGGCTCATAATTTTAAAACTCTGTAGGATTCCTTATATGCACCATATATCTGGCAGTTTCCATCCACACATCAAAACTTATAGAAACTAAAGGCAGATTTCTAAACATATCCATGCTAGTTAAAAACTAAAAAAAACCCAACACAAGGCCATCAACAAACCATGTGTATCTTTAAATTTTTTTATGTATCACAAACATGACTCAAAATCATGCTGTGTACTTGAGTGACCTATTATTATTTTTTCACAACAAATCGCTCCACATTATGTAAAGAATAACCTTTTTTAAATACAGAAAAATATGTATAATCTATTCCCTTAGAAGTTCAATGAAAAACTATTACAAGACATTTTTAAAGCACCTGGAGATTGTCTGCATCAAAATGCTTGGAAGATACCTGATTTTCTGGTGCAGACTGATACTAGTTCTGCTCTCTCGTTTCACAGAAAAGAATAAAGATTATTTTTCTCACCTTTTCTATGTGTTGTTTGGATTGGTAACAAACAGGAAACTTAACTATGGTGGGCTGTTGAGACTTGTTCTTACCTGTCAACTCTTGTTCATCCATTTTAAAGCATGATGACTTCATAGACATCTCTAGAACTCTGATGCACCCATCATCTGATGCCAAAGTCACTTTATCCGAGGTACACCAATCTACATCCAGTATTCGGAAGTTGACATTTCTTCCACTTCTTAAACTGCTCACCATCTGTACCTGGAAAAACAAGCCACTTTTCAGCAAGGATATTAGTTACAACCGGCAAGATTCAGTGCTGTGATTCCGTAAGGCAGGGGTTTTCGACCTTTTTTAATAAGTATGCCCCCGGCAGCCAGACACAGAGCTGAGGGGTGGAGGATACCATGCGACTGGCAGCTGAGTGGCAGCAGAGCGGGGTGGTGGGTGGTGGCAGCAATCGCTGCATGTGAGCATCACCCGCATCAAGCTGGCCAGGTAGCGCCTGTGCGGCCTGCAGAGGGGCACCGCTGCTCTCGCCCTGACCCTGCTCCTGGGAGGCTTCATCCCCACCCACCTGCACATACCCCCTAGGGCCTTCCCAAGTAACCCCCAGCTGACAACCCTTGCCATAAGGCATATCACATGATTAATAAAAGGGAACAAAGGTATCCTTAAAGCCATCTTTGCATCTCCCTGGGCTGAAAAGACCCCTAGTCTTTGCAGGACTTATGAGGACATTCTGCAGAGAAAGCAAAGGAGCTACAATGTCCTGTAACATGCATAAGGACTTTGGTAGGTGTGATTGGAATGAGGAACACTGAACTGGAAGAGGCCTCTGAGCCCATCAGGTCCAGTCCCCTATATTCACAGAAGTCACTAATCCAAGGAAACCCCATGTGTATGTTAAGACTTTTGTATAACAAAAAACCCACTGTGGTCCTAAAAAGAGGTAGAGAATCACCAGAGAGAAAAGTAACAAGAGATTACAAGGATTTCTCAAATCCATTTTCTAGAAGATCAGACTACATGGCTGTACTCTGTCTGGTTTGCAGAATGCATGGCACCACAGTCTGCATCTCTTCACGTAGAATCATTTATCCCTAGTCAATGTCCTATCTATAAACGTACAGAAGAATAAAACTCCAACTACCTACATAAGATGAATGTGAGATTTTTCCCTCTAATATAGGCTTTTCTGCAGAAAAGGAAAAGCAAAGACAAAGTTAATTCTCAAACGTCTGACTTTCATGTACCCCCAAATACATCAAAACCAAGTCAGGTCAACTTTGCCATTTAGTATGTCTAGATGTTCACAGAAGCTTGTTAAGCCTGAAAAGGAAGATTTTTGTATTTCTGCACTGGAGCCCAAAAACATTTTTTATGCAAGCTGCAACCCAAAAATCACTAGGAGAGAGTGATGATAAAATGGTATTTCAATAAAGTGTCAGCTTTATGAGTGAAAGGCACTTTTCAATTGACAGTAGCTTGAAAAAGCTTTCTGGGGAAGTAAGTATCTTTTGTGAAAAGACCAGACACCTCTATTATATAGCTGTCAGCAACAGCTCGTGTATAATTTTAACCACATTGTTTGTGTGCCTGACCTTACCTTGAGAAGTAGGTTTATATGTTTTGTGCACAAGTGCAACCAGATGAGAAATAGATGCATACCTCTTTTGCATCCCAAACTTCAGCTCCATCATTGAACAAGGATATCAGTTTTTGGTTTCCTTTTCCAGGGGCAAAGCGTATTTTTCTCACCCAGCCACGATGGGTAGGGATCCCCCTGGGGGCAAAAAGAACTCAAGTTTTAAGCTCATTCTAATCTACACAGAGAGATATCAGCAGGTGATACAAATTCTGTTTCAAACATTCTACATTTTGATACTTTATAACTTGTAGAATTAATATTCCATGTATATATAAATGGATGACTAGCAAAAATATCATAAAAAACTTTTAAGTGACAGTTGTGTTAGAAAATTCTCAAAATATTTAATATTACAAATATTACGACCCTTTTCATTTTAACTATTCTTGTTTAGATTAAACAAAGCTAGTCAAATATTCAGGTGGGACAAGTCACCAAGGACTCACTGAAATCAACACAAATATACTATTCACACCAGTTGACAGCACCACCTCTCTTTTTTTATAGTTCAGCACTGCCCGAGTAGACACTATTTGAGAAAAATTTTCATGTTAAAGGTAGAAGCTTGTTCTCTCAGCTGCTATATCATGGCAGCCTTCTGCAAATATAAAGAAAAATGTTCTGCCATCCATTCACTCTATAAGAAATGGTAAAATTTTATTCTCTCATACCTGGATACTCTAGCTTTTAAATCCCAAAAGTTTAAGTTTCCATCAACATCTCCGAGAACCAGGGTATCCCCTTTCCATGCAATACAAGTAATACTTCCCATGTTTCCCTGCAGAAGAAAATTATATGGTTAACAGCATTCCACACAGGTAAAACATTTTAATACTGATACCGCCCATTACTTTCCAATGTTAAAAAAAAAATAATAAGCAAAATCTGCTTGTGGCTCCAACAAGGCAATTCTATTGAGCTTACTGAAGGAGTCCTGGTTCAGAAGACAGAATTTATCTCAAAATATTTTCTAGACTTCTTAAACTGAATTAAATACTGTGTTATAGCTTAACATTTAGTTTTATAAGCAATGTAAAACATTTGTGTGTTTATAGTTTCATGTTAGCTCCCATGTGATAGGACTCATTCTCAAACACCCAGAGAACTAATGCATACTACACTAGGAAATACAAACACCAGGATTTCAGTTTGATAGAACTTAGTTGAGTCTTCATACTTGTTGCAAAAAAATAGCTGTCCTTCATAGAAAACCAAAACAATTAAAGCTGACAAAAGAACTCTTATCCATTACAAATCTGTAGCCAACTCAAGTCTTCTCTATCACAATTCATGATCTGAGGCCAGTGTCACGGGTAACTGCTACTGTTCAAATGCTTAACTAAATAAAAGAGAAAGTTACAGCAAAATCAAGCGATATAACAAAACCTGCACATTGTGTTTAGCGTTCAAAGACAGGAAGTTTAATTTAAAATGACAAAAACAATATAAATGTTTCCTGTTGCGCAATTTGGGCTCAAGTATAAGAACCATGATCAGAGCAAATGTGTAGCCCATATAATACGTTTCCCAATAACTGCTCCCTAGAAAAGGGAGGAATCAAGACGTAAAACGCAGGTGACTGGATTTAGATTCAAACTCACAAGACTCGGGTTCAATTCTCTCCTTAGTCACTGACTTACTGTGTGATCTTGGTCATGTCACTTAGATACACCTAATGTAGACTATACTAAGTCCTCTTGGGAGAGTGCCCCTTGAACACCTCTGGCCCCATGTTCACACTTGTACATGAAGATCTGGAGAGGAGGCCACTACTCTCAAGCATACCAGATATAGACATAGTGAGAGGTGCCGCACAGGATGCAGTTTCAAATAAACCTATGTTAAATCCATGATCGGAGAAAGCTAACTGCATTTTTTGACACTGTAAATGCAAATGCTTTAGGGATTTCTGCATCACTGTGAGAAGCTGCCATAAGCAGGAGAGTTATTTGCAGTTTGCTCTATTCTCCAAGGTGCCTTCTTTACTACAACAATGGAGTCAGGGGAGCTACTTATCAAAACAGCTGAAGTTTGCTGTAGAAGGGACTGTGTCCTTCTCTGCTAACTGTGACAAATGCCAGGAACACAGAGAAGCCTCATCAATAAATTCTGTCTCTGTTATCACCAAATGATGATAACAAAGTTCTGATTACAAGTGTTTTTTAAAGAAGTAGTGTGAAGCCAAATTAAAGCTTCTTTAATTTCCTTGCTCTGCAACAGAAACCTCAGAGGATCTTTATGGACAGTAATAGTGAATATCTTTTAGTAATCTTCTCCTACCTATAATAGCTCTTAGCTTTTAATAGTTCTCAGCTTCACTCTATATATGCTATAATAAACAGCTGTTTTCATATTCTGAAGTAAGTGTTCTCAGTCTTTTTGTTATTTCATAATGCAACATCTTTACAGACTGATTCATGGTGCTGTATTCCCCCACTGACAGCAGCATCTCCCTTTGTCTGTGAGAGACGCATAGAAAAATAATTTTACAAAGTAGTTACAGGTTTTTCTAATAATAACAATTACAAGGGGAAAACGAGGAGTATGTACCATACATCCTATCAAATTTTCATGTGCCTTTTGTAAATAAGTGCCAATCAACAGGCCACATTTTACCACTATTATTCAAAAGTTACCAAAAGAAAACCACTCTTCAGAACTTAATCCATAACCAAAATTTGTGTCATTTGCATACCTCAAAAAATATTCCATAGATTGTGATTCTGTAAATTTCAATTGGCATTCATTTTGGTATATGCTTTAAACTTAAACCATTAATCAGAAAACCTCTCAACACACCATTTTTAATAAAGTTAATTTCCAAAAAAATTCTGATCTAGAATGTATTCAACAGTTACATCTTCTAGTGAGCACTTTTGGGTAGATCACAATGGAAATGGAAAGCATTTATAAAAATTTCCCCACAATCAAATCTGTCATTCTCACTGATATATTTAAGAACTGCTGAATAAATTAATATATATAATACATAATATGCAATAGGACTAAAAGTGTAACATTTACAATATTGTGATCCCATATTACTATGTCATATATTTATATACAAGGCATTTGTGTTTTTCTCCTGTTATATAACCAGAGATACTTGCAAAGACAGAGGTTTCTTGAAATGTTATACAGATAATATTCATGAAGTTAACATATTTCAGTAAAGCTCTGTCTTGACAAACGACTCTGGTTACATAACAGGAGCTAAACAAATGTAGTTTCTAAATTTTGTACCTACAGTCTTAGAAATATGTAATTCTGTACTGAAACACAAAGAGAAAAAGAAAAAACACAATAGAGTAGCGATTTTTCTATTATTTCCTCTCTCCCACTCCTTCCTGAAAAACCATACTTGTCAAGTAGTCACTCTTTCAAAAAGCAGCCATCTCTGAAAAACAGCTGACCTGCCATATTGAACAGAAGGTTTTTTGCAACTTCTTGATTGCTGGCCAATTCAAAAAGGAGAACAAAATGAATAAAATTTTACAAATATAACTTAAATATTTTGAAGTTTATTGGAGGAGATGTGCCAAATGGAGAAACCTGGAGGTTTTGATATTACAAGCTATGCTTTTTAAGAAGTAGCCTTAAGCCAAATACAGAGCTTCTTTAAACAGAAATGGATATAAACACCAGCAGGGCAAATTCTCTTAACTACTTTAGCAAGGATGACTGTTCCTTTCCTAGAGAAATTCAACCACTTTAGGAGTAGCAGGAGACTTTGTGAAAGTGAACTCTGGTTTCAACTCTTGGCAGAGCACAACTTGCCACCTGTGCCCTATGATGTTTGGCAACTGGCCACTAGAGGGTAACCTGAGAATGTTATAGGACATCCATAGGTATGGGAGGTATACCAAGAGACCAAGGATTTATCCACTGTATAGAAGTTTTTATGGACTTAAATGTTTATTGTACCAAAAGAATAAGAACTGCCTCTTGTACCTTAGGATATTATTCTGTGCTGCATGCCCAGGCACAACTCTCATTTGCTGCAGTAATTGGCTGTTATGTAACATAGAACTGGCTTTTACTAACAAAGAGGGGATCGAAATATGAATGCCTGCATCTCAGAACACCTTACGAATGAAAATAAAAATAAGAGGAAAATTCACTGAGCATGTTTCAAATACTAACTGTGGACTAGCTTTACCATTCTGCACTGGGACAGTACATTTATAACTAAGCAAAATAATCAAGCTTTGTATCAAAATAGAACCTACACCTCTAATATCTCCCCAATTAGAAACACCACTCTATGTATTTAATGTAAAATAGTTTGTGATAGTTAGCATTACGTGATGGTAGCGTTCACAGTCTCTGAAGGATTTTGCTTTCCTGTGAAGGAATTGAATAAGTAGCAGCCACTGCTAGAAATCATCAGACAGTAATCTGAGCTAGTCCTAAAAATTGTATGACCCATTGTTATTGTTGATGCACTAATAACAATGTGAATGAGAAAAAAAGACTACTCCTGAACCATAACATTTTTTCCTTTTTAAAAATTATATAGTCCCACTGAGCTGAAGACTAATATATATGAAGTTATTAGTGTATACGTACAGGATCAGGCCCAAACATTAAAATTAAATATAATCTACCATTTAAAGAGTTATGGTTGAATAGTTAAAATTACAAGTCACGCAGTGCAGAAATTTAGGTAATAATATACATTCAGTCTAACTGTGCTGTTAGAACTAGAAACCTAGGGAGGAAATGCAAAAATAAACAACGCAACCTTAATGATCCATGGGGTTTGTTTTTGTTACCTATCTTTTTTTTTTTTTTTTAAGAGGCAAAAGAAATTATGGTAATTTTGATGCAATATTCCCCAATTACCACACACTTTATTGTCTAGTTAGGTCTAATAAAAAAGTAAAGGTAATATTACAAGAGGGCTAGGATTTTACTACACTTAGCTTAGAAAAATGGCAGCTAACCAGGTACACATCAGTAGTCCAATTCTCCTAAAACCACCCCTTCCAAAATAGAAAGCATCTTAGAAGTGTTTTTTAAACACGATTTTAAGTGCTGCTACCCACACTAAACATCAGTATTAACATCCTTTGATAATCTTGTTCATTCCATACTTGAAACTGAATTTCTGCTGGTTCTGCTCTCTCTGTAAGAGCATTTGCTCTCTTTGCATCTATATTCTAATTGTGGAAATAATGGAAACAATTTTGCAACCCTGCTAATAGCTATCACTAACAGAAGCCCAATATAAACATGGTCAAAAAAGTTTCCTCTCATGCATAGGGGAAACTAACATTTTCTTAAATTAAACATAATAGATGCAGTAGATATGTGAGTAAGTCTAATACAAAGACAAAAAGCCACAAAAATCCCACAGCAAATAAAAGTAGGGTATTTATTTATTTTGCTGATCATCTTATTTCCATAAAGCCTAAAAAACTTCAGCTGCTGTCTACAGCATTTCTCTGAGATGTATTACGTAAAAATGAGATGCAGTTGAAAAAAAATTTCCACTGTTCCTTCCAAATAAATAAACTGCTTACATAAACTAATGCACAATTGCAAAGCTGAAAAGAAACATTATTTTACATAAACAGGAACTTTCATTTGTTTTGCAAATGCAAGTTTTGTTTCTATTTCCAATCAAGGATTTTGTAAATATTTGCCATTAAAATGTATACTCCTAATAATTATAATAAAACGTTATTTTCTGCAACACTAGCTATCAAAACAAATTAAAGACCCAATTATACAGAAATATTGAACTTACATCAGGAGGAATTCTTGCACTGTCTTTTACCGAGTTTCCCTCTACTGTGAGATAATAAATCTGCCCATCGGTATCTGTAAACACGAAGTGCTCTCTGGCAGAAATGTTCTGACTCAGCTCAGATTTACTTTCGGCCTCCTGTAATAAGCTTTAGGAGAAATGCAGTGAGTCAAAGGTAACCCTTTTTTGTTCTTGAAACACATATAAAAGATCAGATTTCCCCAATGAACCAATGCATAAAAATGCAATAGCATGGAAGTGGATGTTTCTTCCAGAATGGTTCTTTCTACTCAAATCCCCAAACAATAATTGACTTCCACCCTTATAACAGCAACCAGGTGGCAAAAACTAATTTTACTCCAAGAAGCAGATCGCTAAAGGGTACTGCCAATGCCTGTTTGGAATAAATAAATATTTCTCATGCTCAGCAGAAGAATCCAAGGTTGATGTCTAAGGACCAGACCCTAGGCCATTTACTGACTTTTCTATGCACTGCTAATGGCAAATAGTCTGTGAAACTGCTCTCCCAGGGCACCCACCATTTAGCAGTGCTAGTCTGTGCCAATACATAAAAAGAGCACCTTTATATAGGAATGCAGCCCATAGGACACTGTGATGGGCAGTACCTGATAACAGAAGATTCCACACTAATAAGTTCTGTATCGGATGCAACCGTCTGTCGGGCCATAGCTTCACGGGCTGCAAGCTGTTTTTTTCTCAAACTCTTCAAGTTATGGGAAGGTGACCATTCCTGTCAGCATTTTTAAATAGGAAAAACTGGAACAAGTGTTTCTCACTATCTAGAATTACAGGTTAATTATGATTAAGCTAATTATATATTGCTTCTATAATATCTATTCAGAGTGAACCAATTTCTAAAACAGGATGCTTTCATTTACAGATTTCCCTCGCCAACCACGGTTTTGCCAACCACAGTTTTGAGTATCCACATTTAACATACTATATAACATTTTGGCTACCATGTTATAGTTTTGAGTAATCACAGTTTTCTGTGGCCACGCATCAGCCTATCACCTGTCATTTTTTCTATAATCCTCTTGTCTTGCTGACCACGGGAACTTTCAGAAACCTAACCCCAGCAGTTGGCAAGGGAAACTTGTATAATCCTATTTTGTAAGGGTAGCTGGAAAAAATACCAAGTCTGGGTAACAATACTAGAGAAATAAAACCCACCAACCCAATTCGTAGCAAAACATCCATCAGAGTATTTCAAATTATACTTATAAATGAAATTGACATTTTAAGGGAGAAGGTAAAAGAATAGATTCCTTACCAAAGCAGTCACCACAGGGAAGTTTTTTGGCATTTCTCTAAGAAGAGTACATGTCCTCACATCCCAGATCTCCAGAGGTTTGTCTTTAAATACTACAGCTAGGTACTGCCTGAAATGAATGAGCCCTTTCTTATGTCAAAAATATCCAGTTAAAGAAAAAAAATCATTTTAATTTCTGTTATTTTATTTTATATATTTTCTTCCTGTCACCATGGCAGGCACAATTTACTCTAATGGCAGGAGGTGGAAAGAGAGAAAGCGAGGACACATTCAGCAGATCCTGGTCCTGCAATACAATTTGTGGAGTTGGATGTCTGCACTCACATAGGAGCCCATTGAATTTCCTGGAGACCTCAGTGAGTCTAAATGGAATTCTTTGTAGGATCAGGGCCTTACTGATCAAATTAACTAAAACTTCTGGCACTATGTGGAAGAAAGACTTTGAGGAAAAAATATTAAGTGCTCCATTTTAGCAGCTTTCAGTGAGTTGACATTTAGACAACCACAGCATGCCAGCAAGAGAGGCCAAGATTTTAGTTTGGACAGAGGGAGAAGGGTTTAGAGTGAAAGAGATCTGCGAGCCAGAAAAAAAGAAAGAAGATCTCACCACAGGCCTGTAGTAAATGATAAAGAATCTTACACCAAGCATTTGCCAGGTCTGCTTCCCAAGGAACCACTCTTAAGGAATTTCCTGCCGTCATCCTGTAAAGGCTGATTAACTTGCAAAACTCTGTCCAGACTCAATTACTTTCCCTAAGCCCATGGGAAGCACCTTTAGAATTAACTCCTTGGTTTCTGGCCATCAGAAAATGTTTTTTAATAATGGAAAGTGATTTTTTTATTGATAGGTCTAATTATTTTTAGCATGGAATTGAAATATTTGACATTTCTTGTATGTTATAATCAAAATGCTGTTAAGTCTATCTTCTAAACTAGGCGGCATCAGAATCTGCATTTACTTTTCATTATTCACCTTCCTTTGTTTTCATGTAATAGTTTACTTCGTCAGTCTGAGCACATACTTGTTATTAATTGGTAATTGACTGTGGTCACAATTATAGGGCCAAACTATACTAACTGCTGTGCAAAAAATACAGGAAGATGTTTTCAAATGTCAGAAACTGCTTGCCATATAATACAGAAAAAGGAGGGAATGTAATATACACCAGGATCTTGGGGTTGGGTACAAGAGCAGTTCTTTTCATATTTTTAATGGTTATCCCATTGAATCCAAGGCTATTTAAATTATTTTTACAAAAAAGTAGTCTTATAAATTATGTATTACTTGTATTAAGCATAGCGCCTAGGAGCTCTTGTTATAGACCAAAATCCCAAGTCAGTGGGATGTAAAAGGAAAAAAAATTGGCCCTTTCTCTTAAATGGCTTTCACATTATTTTCACTTTGTGTATGCCAACTGCTGAACATTTATGAAAAGGTGAGAACAAGCTTTCATTAGTCAACATGTGAGCAAGTAAGTCCTGGTGAGGGGAGAAGCAAAAGGAATGGGGGTGTAGGTTTGCTGGGGCGGGGGATCCCACTCTACCCCTTGCAGGTCATGCCTGCTCCCCAACTCCACCTGCAGGTCATGCCTACCCTCCTGCCCCTGACTTATGGGTCATGCCTACCCCTCATCCCCTGGCAGAGCCCTGACCGCTCAAGCCTGCTGGACACCCAACCCATCATCTAACCACCCCCCCACCCCCCGCATCCTGACTTACCTGATATCAAGTAGCCATTTTGAATTGATTTAACTTCCCCCTAACACCCAATAATATCTGCACTTAGCCCTACTGTTTCAAAAATCTAACCTGACTCTAAAATGTATCCTACTAGTCCTTGTTGGCTCATATAAAAAGCTCACTGCCACAAACCTGGTATTCTAAAACAGTAGCATCTCCCTTGAAGCACTTGCAAATACTTTTACGCTCAGTTCTTCTGGAGAGTCTTTTCTTGGAGCTGGTTTACTTCTATCATTTTACAGAGATCTTCAAAAATTCAATATACTGTACGAGCTTACTTACTTCAAATGAGACACCTTTATCATTTCAATGGCTGGTTCATCATTGCCTTGTTCCCCACGGAATGCAATGCTCCTGCCTAGAAAAGAAAAGTTTATATGGGAAGAAAAAAAAGTCCCATGGAAATAAAGCCACTGTATAATTGAACCGCCACTTCCCCCACTACTCTGAGTAACGGTTCAGTTTTCATTCGCCTTCTAGGCACTAAAAGAATGTAGTTTCCACTGCCTGACATAATATGGTCCAATAGTCTCATTTTCAGAGCTGAGCTACTGAAATTGATACATGATTGTGATTACCAAAATACAGACAGGTAGAATTAGGAGAGTTATCAGAATTTGGGCTCAAAGACAATAACATTTCATATATAGCTTCCTCCTCCTCAAGGAGGAAATGTTGAATGGATTTCAGTTTTTTGTTAAGAGAAACATATTCTGCCCCAGCATCTTATTTTTTTTGGATAGAGCAATCGCCAAAAAAAGAGTTTCCTATGACTTATTAACAACTCCTTTGCTGAGTGGAATCATTCACTAAATCACTGATGGCTTTTCAAATGTAAGATTGGTCAGTGCTGGAGAGCAATACTGAAACTCATTGTCCTATCTCACTGATGAACAAGGAATCTGGGTTTTCCATTCACCACAGAAAAATGTGGATTTTCCCCTTTTAAGGAGAAAAGCGCAGGAAATGGCAGGTTTCCCTTTGCAGGCTGGCACTATATATATATATTTTAATCATGCAAAAACACAGATGTTGGGGGTTTTAATCAGAGAATTTTGGATTGTTCATCAGAGAATTTCCATTTTAAACAGAGAAAACCAGGATCCCTGTTGCTGATGAAGAATGTCTTTCATTCAAAAGCTTGTTTAACTTTACCCCAACCATGCAGTTGGTCCAAAAAAAAAAGACATCATCCACAACGATCCTTGTCCTCTCTCACAAAAACATTGCCACGTCTTTACAACTGTCATTTAGTATCAAAGACTTAAAAAAAAGTTTAAATAAAAACAATCCAAGTTACTCTGGAGTAGCCAAATGCCTCAAACTTTGATAGGTATTTCATCAAATTAAGTAAAAAGTTCTTCTTCAATTGCTTTCCCTGTGGCTGCAAGCTTCCAGCATAGCCAAGTAACCCATCATGGACCAGGCATATGAAAGTTCTCAGTCCTAATCAGGCAGACCTTTGGCAGCAGTGCTGCTATGCTGAAAATTAAACTCTTGTTTTTTTCTTAAATGAGCAAACATCTTTAGATGTTTTTTTCTTTTCCACATTCAATATTTATATCCAAGAAGTATATAACAGATCCTTCACCAAACATTTGTGATTGGATGTAACCTGGCTGCACTTTCTTTCATAGTGCTAACAGTTTGACTGTGAAACCAAGTCCATGCCAGCTATTCTACCAAGCTGCCAAAAGAGGCAAGAGGGAAGGTTAACTCACTGTTAACATTTGCTAAAATACTAGGTAACTGGGCCGCTATGGAAATGCTGGGTCTCTTATTTCTTGATTTTATAAATGTCAATGTCATCATTTAGGTTTCTAAAGAATGCAGTTTAAGAGAATCTAAATGTACATCTTATTGTAAAATGACACACACATATTTTTATGATTTTTATCTGCTTTCTATTCTTTTATTTTGCAAGGAAAATAAAAGGCAAGAGGAAGTTTAAAAAGCTTTTTTGTGCAATACCTTAGAAGTAGTTATGAAAAATGAAAATGTAAACATTTTTATCTTAAAGAAGTCACTCTATGCTATACATTGGCATTTTACAAGATGTGGGTTCTTCAAGTTGACATGACAAGGTTTATCTTTTTACAGCCAAAACAACATGGTTACTGAACTACTGTGTTTCCTGTACTGTGCAACCACTAAAGTCAAAGTATTAAAATGGTCTTTCAGACACCTTAATTCCCACAAGTTCAAAAGGAAGAGCCAGAAATGCAGCCATGACCAAAAACTTAATAAAGTTTATTAACTAGTTAATTAAAATATTTCAGATATATATATATATATATATATTAAAACAAGACAACATAATAACTTCTGTTCTGTATAATGCATATATGACTTTTGTTCGTTTTTAACAATGCTTTTTTAAAAACTGATACATTTCTGAAAAACATTATCAGTTGATAATTTAGCATCATACGTGTGCTACAAACTTGGTTTGCAAAAATCTAGAACTCTTGGTTCAGAAATGATACCTTTTATTAAATGAACTAGGAAATTGAAAAAAAAATCTTTTTCTGACAGTTTTGGGCCTCAAACACCCTTCATCAGGCTCTGGGAAAATTAAAGATAGTAACAAGTCCCCACAGTTAGGAAATAAACGTCCATGAGAGTGTCTCTCAGTGTTCTAAGAAGTCAACACAGCTACCAAATACATCCCTGAAACACAGAAGACGTCGAATTGTAGCCAATTTGGGATTTTAAACTTCATTGCAGAACAAGAGAGATTTCTAAACCTCCCTGCTTGCCATTTGACACCTCCAGAGAAGGAATCCTACCTGATCTACACAACAAAGAGTAACTCAGAACAACTCACAGAGACACTCTCATGGACCCAGAAGGACAGATTTTTTATCTCCAGCTCCCTCTGCGCAAAAATGAAGTTTATTTAATACCTATGGGGACTTTTTACCATCTTTAATTTTCCCAGAGCCTGATGAAGGGCATTTGAGCCCAAAAACTTGCAGAAAAAGAGCTATTTTTTATTTCCTAGTTGGTCTAATAAAAGGTATCATTTCTGAACCAAGAGTTCTAAATTTTTGCATTCCTTTTTGTCTCAGACCAACACAGCTACCAAATACATCCCACAAACTTTATTTTAACTTTACAATGCAGCTACCCCTCAGAACCTTGACATTCTGGGGTGTTATTTCTTGTTTCTATAAAATTTTGATATCAAAAGTATTCAATTTTAATGTAGAATGAACTGGTTTTTAAAGGAAACTCCTGCAAACATATAATGTGATCTGAAAATTTAGTTCTATGCTGGGAACAAAGTAACAGGTTCTGCAGACCAAATTCTGCTCAGCAGCTTAGGTCTAGGCTAGGAAAAAAAAATCCATTGTTAACAATATACATCATCAAATGTTTCAGCTGAATGTAGAATATATATAATTGCTTCACCAAATCATGACAAACCATGTTCAATAGAATTTCTGAAATCTGCTAAGAAGGTATACTTGGAGACTGTCATATCAATGGCAATCTGAACTTCTCCTGAGCAGCCTTTTGTATTGGTCTTTATATGAGGTTAAGAAGTGTCATAGTGGCCCCTGGCAGACGTTACACTTTCATACATGATTAACCAGTGAATCATGTCTTAAGTAGTAACCAAGCCACACGTTTATTAAATTAACAGTGCAATAAAACAGGGAATGAGTCATTATCATTACGCAAAATGTGTGTAATAACTTTGTGGCTGGTTCCCATCATGCTGACAATTGAATATGTGGCCAAGCCGATCAGCTGGTCTGTGTTCCCCACATGGCAGCCTTTGCTCCAATGCCCTCCAGAGGCAGGGTGTCACATTAATCAGCTGATGACAGTGCTCAGCCTCAAAAGTGTATCAGAGCCCTCTGCTTCAGTGTGCCTCCAATGCTGGCAAGTGCTAGTCACTTGACCAGGACTCCCAGCCTCAGAAGTGCATTGAAGTCTCAGCTCTGGTGTGCCCCCAGGGCAGAGAGCACCAGTCAGCTGATGAGCACACTAAGCCTTCAGGTTGCACTAGAGCCAAGGGCCCCAAGGTGCTCCTCAGGCTGGGAGCCCCCATCACGTGACTGGCACTCTGAGCTGGGGGCACTCAACAGGGTATGACTGGGATCTGATCAACAATCTCATAACCATGCCTCCTGCCATGCATGCACAGCACGGCAAGAGGTATGATTGCTGGGATTGTGAATCAGACTCCATCACACCTTTAACTGAAAATTTGCCAGGGGCCACTGGGTCAGACCAATGGTCCATCTAGTTTAGTAATCCTGTCTCTGATGCTGGCAGGAGTGGATGCTATAGAGGGAGAGCACTGAATTGGGTACATCTCTAATGATCTGTCCCTTGTTCACTACCCTTCTTGGTATCCACCATCATTACTTTAGAGATACCAAAAGAAACCACTCCAACTGTTCTGTCCTGTTTAATAGCTAAATAGCTTAAAAATGCATGCTGCTAAAATGGTATTCACTCTGCTACAGACAAATGGCAATTATCTAGTTTAGATTAAATGAGGGTGATTTGTGCAAACTTGTTCCTTTTAGTATGTTTTCACAGATCTGACTGGAACTTAAAATCTCACACAAAGGAAGATGGAATCCGCTCAGTTCCTCCTGGTTACATTAACTTTGAAAACAAGATGTAGCAGTAATACACATTTTTATTTGGCACTGAAGGCAACAAAATACAAACTGAAATACCCCAACAGATCTGTCATAATACTTTTCAGAATTGAATACATACAGGTTTTCCAAGAAATACGAACCTGTTGGGAGATCAACCAGCTGCAGCTCATTCCGTACTAACCCCAAATTGTTGGGTGCTGATGTAGCAAAGGAGAGGAAACCAGTCAAGCTGACCCATTCAATGGCTCTATGAGAGTAGAGAACATGGAGCACATTAGTTGCTTTTTTAAGGTATTTGGGTGCACAGGAGACTAACTAGATTAACGACAACTCCACAGCTTATTATACGATCTGAAACAAATATAAAGCTAATTTTCTTTATTTAAAAATGCAAGTAAATACAAATACCACACACAGAAATATGTATACAAAAAATATAAAAGTGAAGATCTCAAATGACTGCTAAAAATCTCTTTGAAGATTGAATTTATGTATTTTGTGACAAGTTAGATGCTTTTTGGGACAAGAGGAACTTTTAACTTAGAAACAGTGGGGATGTTTTTGCCAAAAATCTCAAGCATAAACATAATGTAAATGAGCCTGAGGATGTAGTAGTGGGCCATGAATGCCGCTGTCACAGAGGACAGAGTTCTGCTCCCAACTTCTCCTGTCCAGTAAAGCATCAAAATGCCTATAGGAGCCAGTGTACATTTGTATGGTTTTAAACAGCACTAAAAAGTTACCTCCAATTTCAGTTTACCTCATGATTTTTTCACCCCCGAATAATGAGAATATTATAGAGGATGTCCCAGGATGGACAAAAGATGGACTTGCAGATCTGACAGAGCTTTGCCATTACCAGATGTTATTATTTTATAATTCTAAATGTAATATTTTTCCAGGCTGCTCTCTGTTACACAGACACCACAGGAAAATTTTCTAGACTTTTAGTCACTGGTTCTCACATAAGTGTAAGTCAGGTATATCGCCTTGCCTTCTGATACCAGGTAGCCATCTGTCAACGTTAACAACTACCTACAGGAGGGGTAGCCAACCTGCTTCCTGGGTGCCCCAAGTGGCACAGACAGCCTTCCTATTTGACACACGGCAGACTGGGGAGGCCATAGGCAGTAGGGCTGTGCGAAGCTTCGGTTGCTGATTCGATTCGGAGGAGATTCGGCCCGATTCGGTGGCTGAATCTCCGAATCCGGATTGAATCAGGAGACCAATTAATCTCTCTGAATCGAATTCGGAGAGATTCAACGATTTGGACATAGACATAGCTTTATATGTTTTTTTCTACATACCTCAAGGTACCAGGTACGGCTCGAGAATGCTGAAATGGTGGGGCGGATGAAGCATCCCATGGGAGCATGGGTGGGGTCCCCAACACACTCAGTGGTGGACCCGGAAGCGGACCAGAAGTACTTCTGGTCCACTTCAGGGTCTGCCGGGGAGCGTGTGGGGGTCCCTGTCTGTCCCCCAGGTTGGCAACTGGTGCTTCCTGGTCTGGCGTGGCACCCAGAGTCCCCCCATAGTCAATTGCCAAGCCAAGGAGGTGTGTGTGGGGGGCAGTACACTTCTTGGTGGACCTGGAAGTCGACCAGAAACACTTCTGACCCAGTTCCAGGTCCGCCACTGAGCATGCAGGGGTTGTCGTCCCCCCCCCCCAGCTCCTGTGGGATGGTCCATCCACCCCACCATCTCAGGGTTCATAAGCCACACCTGGTATATAGAAAAAAACAAGGTATGTAGAAAAAAACATATAAAGCTGTGTCTATGTCTGAACTGCTGATTCTCCAAATCAGAATCAAATCAGGGCAGTGATCCGAATCAGCGAACCGAGTCACTGCCCCCTGAATTGGGCCAAATCCAAATGCTGCCCGCTACGCGCACCCCTAATAGGCAGTACAGCGCAGATACAGCAGAGAGCAGAAAGCTGGCCATCACATCAGGCAGAGAGCACAAGACAGGAAACAGAAAGCTGAGCAGCAGATCACAGAAGGGAAAGGGATTGCAGTGGCACTCAGGGAGGGTGTGGAGCTACTTTGTGGCATGCCTGTGAAACAGGTTGGCTCCTACTGATCTATAGAATCCTATATTAACAGAAAAGTTACTTTCAATTATGAATGTCTGCACTGCTGCATCAGTATAATTGTCTATTACTGACATAGGCATAAATTAAATATGGAAGAAACTAACAATTCATGGCATTAATGAAACTGTTCCCACTGTAACACAGGAAACTGTAATTTTTTTATGTTGGAGTATTACCATCCCATAAAACTTTGCTTTAAAACTACCACCCACTTATCTCAAATAATTAAGAGTTACACTAAGCTGGTTTTATAAACTACATCTATTCTTTACAAATATAAAGCTTCTGACTTTTTAACACATGGCAATTTGTAGCTGCCACTTTAACAGGTAAAGCCTATAGCTCTGATTTTCTGGGAGATGAAGATTTTGATTATAGAATAATAAATCCTTACAGTTTTCATGCCAGTACCTGGATGACAAATGGAAATTTTAGTCAGAAAAAGATGCTTTTAACTTTACAGCACATTTGCTGAGAGCAGTTAATGAAATTAACTGGGGCAAAAGAAAAAAAAGAATAAAAAATAAGAAGGAAAAGTTCAAAGTAAAATCATCACGTCTTAAAAAATCTAAATGATAAAGACTCACTCTTAACAATCTGGTAATAGTTCAAATGGATTTTATTTATATTTATTGAAAAAACTTGGTTTGCACAATATAGATCCTATACTGTGAGAGAAGTCCACAGGAAAGGCTAAAAAAAAAAAAGTTGAAATGATGCTGAACTTGGCATGTCATGGATAACGCTGGGTTGAATTACATCACCTACACAAAAAGGTTTTGACAATTATTGTCAACAATAGCTTTATTTTCTAAACAAAACCTCTGACACTTTTTTCCAAGTGTTTAAACCAAGACTGTCCACCTTGCAGGCAGCCAGGGGCTGCATGTCATACAGGGCACAGACCCAGAGCCAGCCTGCCATGTGGATGCCTTGCCCCCAGCTCCCCTCTACCACATGGACTGCTGAGTGCCCCTCCCAGCTATACCCCCCCCACCAAACTCCTTTAGCCACATGCTGTGTTGGCTCTCCATAACTGCACCCCCCAGCCCTTGCTGCGCACACAGCTTGGTTGCTCCGTCATCTCCTAGTAGCCCCACCAGGTGCAGGCAGCCTAGCATCCACCATGCAGCTGGGGCAGGGAGGGTTGTTCTGCATGCAACCAGGAGAGTGCAGCACTGAGACCATGGCAATGGGGAGGGCACTGGGAAGACCAGCTCCTCTCTCTCCCCTCTCCCAGCCCCATGTGCAGCAACCCACGCCTCCTGGTTGCCCAGGAACAGTTGGGCTATCTGTGTGGCACATTTAGCAGAGGGGGTGCTGGGCACCTGGCTCTCTCCCTCTCCCAGCTGCATGTGCAGCTCTGTAGCATGGACAGCCCTTTGTCCCCATGGCATGGACAGCCCAGCTCCCCACTTTCAACCGCACAGGCTACCTCCTCCCACCCCTCACCAGCTCAGGCAGTTAGCTCTCCCGTGCGGTGTACAGCACCCCCAGGACTCTCCAGGCACCTCCTGGCTTCTGTGGCAGGAGCAAGTGTGGAGGGGGAATGGCAGCTGGGTGGGAGCCTGCAAGCTGCGCTCTAAACCTTTGGTTAACCTGGGGGCTGCAAGTTGGACAGCCCTGGTTTAGTCACTGTAGGGTAGGGAGCAATTGGTCCCCAGTAAGTCTGTGCCAGAAAGTAAATGAAAGCTTTCTGTCAACAGTATTTAAATGCTGAATGTAATTTAAGAACTATTTTAAGGATATATGAGTTAGAAGGTAGCATTATTCAGCATAACAAAGTGGTACTGCTCCAACTCAAATTTGTTATTGACCATGTAATACATCCCTGGACTCCTACTTTCTTAAATTCAAACATGCAAAAGTGACTGCTACACAATGGTACTCGATAGCTATTACATAATAAGCTATTTCATGCCATTCAGAGTATTCCTCCCCAACAGAAAATTAGCAGTTCAAATGACTACAAAAAGCTCAGCAGGACATTTACAGAAATCTTAAGATAAGTTGCTGAAATCGTTCAGATGTTCAAGAAGAAAAGCCTAATTTTCATAATTGAGACTGAATTTCCCTTTCTGAGGTAAAACACCAGAGCAAAATCCAGTTGGGTTTCACTAGCATTAGAAACCATGGAAGAACACAGTACATTTCTATACGTCTTTGCTTACCATTTGTCATGCAATAAAACTTAAGGGAAAAAGTACAACACTGTCCTCAAGAAACCCTTATTTCAAAAACAAAGCTGGCCATCACTATGCATGCTACTTGAACAAACTGATAGGAACTGCTGTCCAGATTATCCAATCCAAAATTTAAAAACTTAGTATGCTAATGCATTGCATTTTCCTAGACAACTGAAAGACGAATAATTAGGCTTTTTCCTACACCTTGTTGTAAAAGGTTTCAACAGGCTGGATGTTTTCACATTTCCTTACTACGGAATGCTCAATTAACAAAATGCTCAGAAAATGGTTTCCACATAACAAGTAATGTGTGCACAGTTCCCAGCTCAGAAAAATTGCTGCTTATTGTTAATTTTTTTTTAAAGTTCCTTGCTACACTGCAGGAAGCACTGATTATCTGCAGATAATGGTGATGGGTGTGTGTGCATGTGTCACATAAGATCCTAAGTAGTTAGGTTGGCATTTAAACTTATGTACATACTTAAAAATGTATAACAGAAAGTATTGTGGAAGACAGCATAGTTGAAATATCAGATATAATTTCAGTAGCTTTAGAAACACTCTTCAGCAAGTACTATGGCCCATTCAGGCCATAAAGACTGTTTTATACTAAGATCCTCAAAGAATTTCCTCTTGCCATTTGCTGGGTAACTGAAGCTGTAACTATCCTCCTGGCAAACTTAGGTAAAACTCTCGTAGGCATGACTGCAACTGAAACAGCACTGCTGGATCTGACCTCAAGTCCTACCAACATTTTGTAAATCCGTAAATGAGGTATTTCGCCTGCAAAGATCCATGTCACTATTTTTGCCAGTTCCCCATATATCTGAAGTATGTCATATCATAAAAAGGTTTCTGTAGGAGAGAATTAAATCGATAACGTTTGAAGTGTACATGATGGCTCTTCTTGTAGTAACTATTAGGGCTGTGCAAAGCTTCGGTCCCTGATTTGATTTGGTGGGCGAATCTCTTAATCCAAATCGAATCAGGAAACCCTTTAATGTCTCCGAATCAAATCAGAACCCTCCAAATTGATTCAGAGAGATTTGGAAAGATTCGGTGATTTGGACATAGACACAGCTTTAAATGTTTTTCCTACATATCTCTAGGTACCAGGCGGCCCATGAACGCTGCAATGCTGGGGTGGATGGAGCCTCCCACAGGAGCATGGGGGGCTCCCAAGCGTGCTCAGCAGCAGACCCGGAAGTGGACCAGAAGCACTTCCAGTCCACTTCTGGGTCTGTCGGGGAGCATGCAGGGCTGCCCCTCTTCCCCCCAGCTCAGAGACTGGTGCCTCCCTCCTGGGTCTGGGGGGGCACCCATGGTCCCCCTGCGGGCAATCACTGAGCTGGTGGGATGCGGGGTGCCCCCCCTGGACGTTGCCCAGCAGACCCAAAAGTGGACCAGAAGTACTTGCGGATTCACCACCAAGCACGTGGGGGGGGGGGGGGGCCCATCCTCCTGGGGGATGCTCCATCCACTCCACCATCGCAGAGTTCACAAGCCATATTTCAGAGACAAGTAAGACTTTCCACTGGGAAAACTTGCTGTATTTCAGGTGGCTTTAATAAGTTAGCATTAATATCCTATCTTACATAATCACTGTCATGAATTGTTAGACTTCTACAGAAATTGCTTCCAAGGTTACTAGAACTGGATTGAGAAACTAAGTCTTTTAAAGCTCTGCTGACATAATGGATCACACCAATCACCATGAAGCAAAATTTATGGTAATTTTAGTTCCATTCCAAAATCAGAGTCAGCAAAGAGCAAAACTGACAGAAAATCACTATTATCAAGCTTCTAAAAAGATGTAAGAGCATTGCAGAATTCAAGCCCACATTTGAAATAATCTTAAATCTGCATAAATGTAAAATACACAATGATTAACATAGAAGAAAAATGGAAACAGTGTATGAGTCCCTTCTCATCCTTCTCCAGAACTTCCCCTAAAATTTAGTTGAGGTTTCTTCCTATTAAAATTTTTCCATGTTGTCATTTCTTTTTATAAATAAGGTGAATGAAATGTTCAGGAGATGTAATATTAGTGATACCTGTATGTCTGCTGGATGAGTATAGAAAAGTAGTGCTCAAGGTTTTCACTCTGTGGCCCAGATGAGTGACCTGGGGACAGTCAGTAGACGAGACTGGGCCTTAGGACTTGGCACTGACCCCTTCTGCCCCTTGCATACTGGGCTTGTATTTTGGGGGCCCAGGACCACTCCAGTCCCTACCCACATGCACCAGGACTGGGTCCCAGGGATCCAAGACTGCTCTTTCCTGGCCACCTATAACCAGGATTGGGTCCTGGGATCTAGTACCGCCCCCATCCAGCCCTGCATGCTAGGTTGGGACACCACATTCAGTGTGCAGGTCCCAGGGCCCCCCATGCGTCCAAAATATGATAACCAGGTCCCCATCTGTCCCACAGGCTGGGGGTTGAACATCCCTTGTTTAGAACACAAGTTCTTTCCAATTAGTTTCAATCTGCTGGTGACACTTTTAAGAGTATTTTTTAATTTCATATCCTACTGAAGGTCACTTAAATAAGTAGAGTTAATATTCAAGTGCTAATATAAAATGGATAAACTGAAAAATAGTTTTAATATATTTACTGTACAAAAGCACCTAGCATTAAGAAAACCTCAGCTCTGTTATCAATTATTAATGAAGAAAAAGATTAAAACAGCTTTCCTGAAAGTTATGCTTTCAATGGGCATATACAATTATATAATGCATTAGTACAGCTTTAATGAAATAAGCCACTTTACACCTTTTTTATTTTTTAAACCCCATCTGTGTTATGTTAGTAATGGTTTTTAATTTTAAATGCTGTAATCATATTAATGAAATATAAAAAATAAACCAGGATTCAGTATTCTCTTGAGATACATAAGAGAATATAAAATGAGAATAATCTTGAAAGTGCTTAGTAGCACCAAATAAAGGTAAAATTAAAGATTAGACAGAGAAAGGATATGCTATCTCTAAAAAGCCTACAAGGACATTTATATTGTAAAACCAAAGCAGGATTCATGTAAGTAGTTCTCTTGAAACATTTTTCTTACATTTTTGAACAATGAACAGAGGGATCTCAGAACTCTTCTAAATATATATTTATACCAGTTTTTATTTTTATACATACACACACACACACACACACACAAACACATAAATGTATATATATAAATGTAAAAATATATATCTTTATTATAAAAATAATATTCCATTCCCTTTACTACTTGAATGGACCCTGGAATTGGTTGACTATCAAAAAACAAGATAAGACATTACTCTTCTTCATATGACTATATTTATTATCTCTCACATATGCATGAAGACAGACAGACTCGACCAGCTTTCTGGACCCTTTAATGTGTTTGGGAACATGAACATGTTAATGAAGACATAGATTTACCACCTGTCAGATATTCTGCAGTAACTGCCCACATCCACACTCTTATGACAGTAAATGAAAGCTGACTCACACTCCCTTGAAGGGACAAGCAAGGGGAATAAATTACAAAGTAAGAGAGCACATGTAGGCTATTACCACAGGGTAGTAATAACATTCTATAAATCCTTGTCCTCATTTACCTCACAGCAACTTGTTTGGGCACCCTTGCCCTATTATCCTTATTTTAAAAAACTAAATACTACATAATGTATTTAGTTCTAAATCTCAATCAAAATACAACTGCATATAAATCATTTTGTGTTGAAATTTTATCAACAGCAGTCTCAGCCTCATACAAATAATAATTTAAAAAACCTTAACAAACAGAATATAATTATTTCCAAGGGGGGGAAAAAAGCCCATGAGTCATAATAGCTATATAAACAAGACGCTGTAATAAAGTTTCTCGTGTTAAAAAGTATTCTCTGTGCTACAATGTTCTAGAGAAAATGCAAACAGCTAATGTTCATCCTAGATCAACAGGCACATTAGTTACCAATTCAAATATTTATAGTTCACTGCAATTTCCAGTCTAATTTTCACAATGAGTTACTGCTTTGCACAGCAGAGATACTATTTGCTAGAGCAGACTGCTCAATAGGGTAATTTTCTTGCGTGTCATTAATGATGAAACAAAATGCCTATATTGCTTGCAGAACATTAAATACTTTAATTCTCATCTCCCAAAAGGATTAGTAAGAATTAAAAAGAAAAAAATCTTACTTGACTTCGCAGGAATGAATGCTTAACTCCTTGTGTAGCAGTCCACTGGTAAGATTATACACCAAGACGGAGCCATTACTTGTCCCTGTAAAAGTGACTTATATTTTACAAAACAATGCAAAGCAGCTATTATACCTAGATGGAAACATATACAGCTCCTTTTATTTGTTTGCACCAATGAACAAACATATTTATTTGACACTACAAGGGTGAGGTGGGCACTCAGCATCTAGGCATATGAAGTCTAAACTCTCTCTCAAAGGCTACAGATCCCAAAGTCAGTTTCCGCTAAGAAATGCTCACATACCTGCCGTTAAGGGTATCAACTTTTGGAATCTGGTGAAGATCTGGATGGCAAGAGTTTGGGGTGTTTTCACTAGGCATAATACATAATAATGTTTGTTCCAAGAGTTGAAAAATAATTAAGATGCACTTACAGAAATGTAGGGTAAAGCCTAATACAGGCATAAAAATGTAGGGTAATACAGAAGGTGTCTTTGTGTTTCTCACGCAGATAGAATCATTGCAGTAGATGCAAGTATAAACTGGTTTCTTCAGTTTTCCAAGACTGGAGTACTGCAAGCATTACCCTAAATTTCTATAAGTGCATCTTAATTACTTTTCAACTCTTGGAAGAAACATTAAGGTAACAGCTGTAAATGAAGCTTCCACAGGAATGAAAGCTACAGTCTGACAGCATAGTAAGCGATGAAGACAAATCATGAATGCCCACTTATACTTTGGAACAACATTATTGAAGGCAGTTGGTGAGTACATTTGAAAAACAATAACACAGGATTCTGAGGAATTATACTTCTTAGAGTGAATCCCCAGCTGTGATCCTACCCTGTTATGCTGGTCAAAAGAACTGGAGTAATATAAGGGCTTTATTACACATTACAACTTAAGCTTCTCAAATGTTCATCAGTGTTAGTGTTGGCTCGAATTTAGAGCAGTCATACATTTGGGCTAAAAACCTTCCCTTACCGTCCTCAACCTGCAAAGCTGTGACTTGCTACTGACGGCGGGAGAGAAGGTCCTGACTAGGAGCTAAAGCTGTGAGTTGCCACTAGAGGGCTGGTGACCAAAACCAGCTTCTATCCTTGCTTTTGGTGGAGGTGGGTTGGAGAGATGAGTTGGCAAGGGCGCGAGCATTCGACTGGAAAGGGGAGAGTTTAATGGTGGGCACTGGGTAGTGAAATGGAGAGGAAATGAGTGGGAATAGCAGCTGGGTGCAGGGTAGTAAAATGAAGGAAGTCAGCCACTGAAGCCACTAAAGGATAAAATAAAAAGAACTTTAAAAAAGAACTTAAAAAGAAATGAAGAATAAGTAAATTAGAGAGAGTTTCGTGTTTTATTAAACTAGGGTTGGGATTGGGATTCGGTCCAACTAATGAGGACAACGCTCCTACCTCGGAAGGAAAACCACAGTTCATGGGAACCCCACTCTGGTCCCCTACCTTGCTCTCCCATTTACCCTCCCTTCCAGACCAGTCTGTGCCCCTAAGAGCTGCCTGGCCAGGTCACATCCCCAGTGGTGGGAGGGGGAATTGGCTTGGTACCAGTACCACCCTCTGTGCAGTAGAGTTCAAGGGCTGGAAATTTTACCCATTCAGAACAGGAGGGTAAGGGGGTGGGAGTGGGGGGAGGACAGTATCTTGAGATGCAGGAGAACTGAAATTTGGTCAGCTTATCTCTGAGGAGTGGCCACTCATTCCTGGAATATGAGCTAGGTAACACAGATCAGAGATAAATCTGCCCCAGAGTGGCATAACTTTAAGATGCTTAAAGGGCAGTTAAACTTGGTTTACATGTCCTAATGTGTGGACAATCCCTGAGCTGCCTAAAATTAATGTATAACAAGGCCCTAAGATGTCCAAGTTTTTGTCAAAGGAAGATTCCTTGGAATATGTACTGTTGTAGACAACAAGGAGGTTGCCCTCCTGAGGGAGGTACATGGACTAGAAAAGGAGCACAGAGAATGGTGTTATAGAGTACAGCAAAGACACTGAAGTATTATAGCCTAGAGGGCAACCAGACAGTAGTTAAATGTAATTTAGACAGGTTCCCAGGATTTCTAAATTATGTCAGACTGGATTCTTCAGCCTCCAAAAGAAGTACAGTCAAGAAGGTCCAATCTTGCAAGCACAGCATCTCTACAGCTCCAGCCTTGCAGCTGACACGCAGGTAGATAGCTGTGCATACACCTATTCCTGCTGAGGGCACTGGGGGTTACCATGAGCATAAGGACTTGCCAACATGGGGTCAGTTAAAGAATCAAGACTTAAATGGAACAACTCAATACATACAGCAAGGGTAAACATAACCAGGGCCAATTACTACTGTACCTATACACTTTTGTTTAAGTGTGTCTAAATGAGCATTTCTTTCAGGACTCAGACCAGCATTTTAATAAGTCCTTCAGGACAAGTGACACAAGAAGTAAATAAGAGTATCTGGAATGGGAAGAGATTAGGTTTGGGGAAGATGTTCCACCAGCAGAGGGCAGCATAGAAATGGTGATACTAGGAAAGAACTAGCACAAAAACAGGTGTGTACAAGATGGGCAGGACAGTAAGCCGACAAAAAGCACTATACACACGCAAAGGAGAAAGTAATGAAATTTACAAAATATTTCAGAGACCAAACAACAAGCCTCTCTTTTGGACTGGATAACCAGTATTCATTAGTACAAAATGTCAAGTAACATTTTCAGAGCAATAAGTAATACATTAAAAAAAAAATCCACTTACCAACAGCTAGGAGTGCTTGATACTGCTTAAGGTTTTTTGTTGTAAGAGGTGGACACATACGGATAGCAAACTGAGGCAGGGGAAGCCCTGAAAGCAGCCCCGTCAGCAGAAATTTCAGGTGAATTTCTTGCAAGAAATAATTTTTTAACTGTTCTTCAGCCACTGTGCCTTGTCCTGCTTTATGTTAAAAAAATTAAAGTTTCTATGGGTATGACATTTTTAATACACAGGAGTTATAAATAAGTATTATCAACAATCTGTGTAATACATGATGCAAAGTAACATTTAATGAGACACCCTCTGTTGTTGGAAAAAAAAAAAAAAGAGGACAAGTACCATATTTACTCAATCTAGGAGGAGGGTTTTTCCCCTAGGCAATATGGGGGAAAAAGCCCTTTGTTCTGGACCTGAGTACAAGCTTGGGAGGTAAGTGGCTGCTGGAGCTCTGGCTCCAGCCCCAACCCAGGCATGGGGTCGGAGTTAGAGACACTATCCTGGCCCAGCTGTGTAATGTGAATACATACAAAAAATGTAGGTAGAAGATAATCAGGTCCTAAGTGTTTTTTGTCCAGTGGGCCAGATGGGCAGTGCCAGGTCTGCCCATGGTCCCAATCCAGAGCACAGAGTGGGAGTGGCAAGCCCCATCCAGCTGTGCAGAGGAGGCTGGTGGGCAGCCTAACCCCAACTTAGCCCATCAGAGGATTTGGCATGGCCCAGCCCCAGAGGGAAAAGGGGTTTGACCCAGCCCCAACCTGGCCCCACGGGGGGAAAGGATGTGGCCCAGCCCTGATCCAGCTGCAGGGGGGAGGATGGGGTGTGGCCACCATGTGAGGTTTAGGAATTTGGTCAGGGGAAGGGTGACCATATTAATGGCCACCACTCCCCCAACATTAAACTTCTCAACTGTGGGGTCCCAGTAGGTCAGAGTTGATGACTCTGCAGGCCACATCTGGCCTGTGGGCCAGAGGCTGTGCACCCCTGCTTTAAACCAGTGGTTGTCAAACTTTTCAGATGAAAGCCACCCTTCACTGGACTCAAGGCACCCCTTCATAACTTCTGTGAACTGAGTGGCACCATTTTCAAGAAATAATTTATAAACTTCAGTGCTTACCCGCTTGCAGAGATGTGGGGGATCATTCAGGAAGGGACAAGCCTGAATCTGTGATTATCTGTTTAGCTTACCTGCTCATCTCTTTACACCTAGCTTATCTTGCAGCACCCTTCAAAGGATCTTGCAACAGCTAGGTTGAGAACAACTGCTTTAAGCAGTGGGAAATTAGAGATGAAACTGCAGAATGACTCTTCATGTCGTGGGAGCATGTCTGCACTGTGTATGAATAAACTAGTGTCAAGGACACACTTAAAACTCAATGATCCCTAGAGCTACGTCCATTATTTCATTAAATGTGCTCAAACTACCAAGAAAGGAGAATTGCTGCTTTATTCCATTAAACAAAGCATTTTCTTTTTAGAATTCATTTGAGTTCCAAACAAAGTTCTGCACCATAAAAGCCCTAGAAAAGTGGGTACTGTCTTTAATGAGTTCTGAAACTAGTTATAATAATGACACACACTCCACTAATCATAAGATTTTCTAATAGTTTTAAACATCTAACTCTAAAAATTAGCAGTAGTAGTTAGTCTTACCTATCATGTTATCTAGTGAAAGGTCTGGAAGTTTGTTCTGGAATGCTCCTACAGGGATTCCACAGAAAGAGGCTGGCGAATACAAAGGTGATACACTTGAATTGCTGTAAAAAATGAGAAAAGACGACTGGAAAGTAAAATGGTATTACTGTATCCCTGATCAAATCAAATGTGTTTTTTCCCAGAATTGTTCTCCCAATATTCCTACTACTTACTATTTTCAGGAACTTCTGTGGAGATTTTCATATACAGCCTTACCAATATGAAGTAACTGTCTAGGTATCAGGTAATTAATTCTGCACAGTTCTCATCTTTTTTATGTGCATTTAGTATGAAAATATGAGTGACAGTGCTAACAGTAGGAAGGAGAGAAGGTAGTTAAAGGAAAATGTTTCCTTAAAATTTAAGTGTTGGTTCTTTCCATATTGTAGGATTACCAGCCAGTTCGCAAGCCAATTATTCCTAAAGTGAAAGGAAGGAGTAAAATTATCCTTTCATAACACAAATGAGATTTAAAATCCTATGCTTACTACAATCGTTTTTATCCTCTTTATAGGCACATGCTTACCATATTTTCTATAGCACATCAAATTCTGTTATTTTTGAGATATAATTTAGTGCTGTTACTTAAATGTCTCTCATAAATAGAATTAAAAATATAATTACAAAATGGAAACTTAATACAGTTACCTGACACGTAAGCTTCTGCCAGAAATGGTAGACTTCAGTTCCCATATCATTACCCTGCCATCACTGACGATGAGAGCTGCAGAGTTTTCATTCACTGGGCAACAAACCATGCTGAATGGGCGAACTGTCTTTGTTACCCTAATTGCATCACACTGACTTCGTAAGTCATAGATCAGCTCCTGTACCGGATCTGGATCTGTAATTTCACCAATGAGAAAATATTGGACATAATTTAGAAAATATTACTGGAGCCTGACATGAGAAAGTAGGAAGTACAAATGACTTTTTTGTTGTTGTTGTTAGAATACTATTTTTTGGAGTTTTTGATACAGTCTCCCACACTGTTCTCGCAGGCAAGCTAAGGAAGTACAGGCTGGATGAATGGACTGTAAGGTGGACAGAAAACTGGCTAGAGAATCAGACTCAGAGGGTAGTAATCAATGACTTGATGTCTAGCTGGCAGCTGGTATCAAGTGGAGTGCCCCAGGGGTCGGTTTGTTCAATGTCTTCATCAGTGACCTGGAAGATGGCATAGAGTGCACCCTCAGCAAGTTTGCAGATGACACCAAGCTGGGGGGAGTAGTAGATATGCT